CACGCTCGCACACACACACACATATAAAGCAGAAAAAAAATGCCCTTTTAACATTGCGACTTTGGCGGCATTTCACTGGCATTTACAGCCACTGTAAATGGTGTAAGGCTTTCCACCTGAGGTGACATTTGATGCATTTTGATGCTGCACCTTTGAACCACTCTGTCTTGAATCTGACATGAAACATCGAGTCAAACGTCAAACGCCCTGGTAACACTTGTCAGTCTGATGTCATCTGAGCATTCACAAATCTCTGATGTGAAGGGAAAGCACACTGCAGGGCCCAGCAGTCCTTGGAGAAAAGGATTATTCTGACTCGTCTGCCATGATCTAAAGATCAGAAGCGCCATGGGTTCAGCTGCATCTATGGGCTCCTCAGAAGTTCAACATGTAAAATTTAACAACAAAATGAAGGTACTAGAATTAAATATAGTTTATTTTAGAGCAAAAGCTTAAAACTGTTTCCATTCTAAAATGTTTACTTGACCACAGAATGTCTACTGTATACTGTACATAGTATATGTCATATTTTTATTGTAGTATTTAGTGTAATTTTGTTGACTTATTACTATCTGTCTTTTATTAGCACTGCGGGGACTGTAATTTCATATATGCTGTATGCTGTCGTATAGCATATTTGACAATAAAGCTGACTTTCATTCTTGCTATTGCACTTGCAGTAAAGCAAAAAAAAAAAAAAAAGACATTGTTGAGGATACTAAAAGGAGCGCAAAGTAACAGCAGAGAATGAACATTCAGCCAACCTTTGTATGTCAATAATTTTGTCGGGTACACATGTGATTATCTCACAATTTTCTGAGGAACTGCAACCGTCATTGCTGTTAAGTATCCGAGTGATATAAAGGCTACAGTTGCCATTGTAATGGTTATTTGGCTATTAGGACCATTGTGTTTGAGAGGACTTCTGTAAGGTACATTTATATTAATTTAAGTCTCAAACCTTGTCTACTGAATTTTAATATATTCTAACTGATGAGTTTTGTTTTTTTTTAATTTTAAGTATGTGCTCGTATTTATGTCAGAGACATGTATAAAAAATACAGTTAGAACAGATGTTGAAAACCATCTCACAAATAATGACCTGGCACCATGTTAGTAACATAACTGAATACAAGAGTGTGTGAGTGTTTTAGAAGTAAAGATGGGAAGAGGTTCATCACTGTGTGAAAAACAGTGTCAGCAAATGGTTAAACAATTTCACAGAGATGTCCTTCAATCTAATTGCTGAAGAATTTCATCATCTTCATAACTGTGGGATAAGCACAGCTCAAAACCAATCCTAGATGGCTTTGATCAACAGGCCATTAGGACAGCACCCTGAAACACAGATGGCTCTATAGTGGAAGTCACTGCACAGCCTCCAGCTCAACTGAACAGATTTATCCCCTCAACCTCAAACCCAGGTTGAAACTGGACCATGAGGAAACCATACAAGCATGATCTGGAGACTTTTTTTCTTGAGCCTGATGAAGAGGAGCTGAAGCAAACTGACCTGTAATGAAGTGAACAGATTCAGTGCTAGTCATGATTGCAAAAACTTTTTGAAAACTTAAGCCCATAAATGTCACAGAAATGACAGCAAATGACAAAAAAGATACAAGAAAATGTATAACTCCACAGAAAGTCAAAATATGAGTTATGAGTTCATTAAATGAGTCTTTTCCTAAGAGGAACAGTTGACATTTTGCTTCTTAGTCTGACAAATTTTTCACCAAACATTTCTACTCTGGTTGGTGTGCAATCACCAACATTCCTCACTGACAACAATAGATGCTGATAGCCACATGCTACATAACAAATGACACTCTCGAATGACTTTCGAATTATATTCCCCTCAAGGGAAACCTTTGACTTTTTAAGTTATTTTAGTCACTTTTCAATATGATACTGTTTTGGTGCCTTTAGGCAGATGTATTTGTCTCCTTCTGGCCAACTTTTCTGCTCACAGTTTGAAGGACACTTTCTACATTTGGGACGATGGGCTTCTTTACTTTCTGGCTTGGAGTTGGATTTTAACAGACATTTCAGGCACGGCTGTGCTTATCTCTCTAGCTAAGGCCAGCAGGCATGCAGTTCAGCATTATACAGACTAGAAGTGGGAAAATGCTTCTGAATGTAATGCCTTTGAAAAGGAGGTGCAAATCCAGGTGCCCGGTTTTGCGTGCAGATGGATGCTATTATGTGGCGAGGGGGAGACATGGTTTCAAACTGATTTGAAGCCATTTCTCATAAGCTGTTTGGGGGCATCTTAAATGGAGAAAACCCTATGATTAAACAGAAAAAATAGATTTATCATGGCATTTACTTGTATCCGCTGTAGCCTAAAAACAATAAACCAGTAAACAAGTTCAATATGCAAATCCCCAATTTGTATACCACAGCCTACTCAGTCTTTGTACCTGATGTTATTCATGCACTTCTTAGCAAATCAACAGTTTTGTACTCCTTATGTGAAGTAAATCAGGGCCTATGAAGAAAATTTTCAGTGCTTTACTCAGCTGTCAGATAGCATCATGATGTTTATACTGTTGTTGGCATATTCATGTAGTTTTTCTGCCTGCTGCTTTTTTTTCTTTTTACTATGTGGTCATAAACCTACAATAATGAAAAACTTAACTCACTAACATTTCGTTAAAGTCCCACTCCAATCATTTTTTTTACTACTTCAAGTGTTCTCAGTGGTCTTTAAATTGTGATTATGAAGTTTGTAGCCAAAATCATGTTACCTGTCATTTTTAAGGGCTTTTCTTCTGCAGAGCTCCAGTAGCTCATGAGCAATTTGCCTCTGAGTGGTGGGCGGAGACAGCGCTGCTCTGCACACCCCCCTCCTCTTCATGCTTGCTTGTAGCCTAACATTGCTGGTGTAGTAGAAGTAGCAGGTAACATAGGAGCTATTCAGCTCTTGGACACTAATGTCTTTGGGAACAAGATGAAAGTTAGTATTATAAATAGCTTTCTTACGAGCATTGCAATCCGCTAACACACACACTTATTCTGCGATCATCCTCTCTACTTCTCCAAGTCTGACCAGCATAGCGGGGCTCCAAGGGTGGAGTTTGGATTTGCTACGTAGAAGAATCACACTGTGTCTGAGCCTGCCGCTTGGATCTGCCAAAGGTTCACAGCGATTTGAATGCAGAAATACTCAGAAATGCAACTGCACACTTATTTTTTTCATGATATGTCCTGTAGCATCAGAAAAACGCCATATGAACATGTAGACAACAAAAACAACATTTTCATCAGAGTGGGTTCACAGTGTACAGCTAGCTGGCTTGTCTTTTAACAGTGGCCTGGCTGAGCACTCCGTCTGTGCAAGTACAAATCTCTCTTGCTTCTGCTGTTGATTTTACAGATTGATTTACACTATCCACAGACGGATGATCAGTACCGCTCTTTCTTTATAAGGGTACGTCACTTCTTGTACTTCTCTTGAATGAATTGGGAGTGAAGTCTGGTGTGAGTACAGATTAGAAACAGGTCTAATCAGCCACAGTAATTAAAATCACCTGTGTGGGTGCATGGAGGAGCAGTGCTTTTGAAGAGATTAAGGTGTTTACCAGCCTCTGCTGCGAAATGTCGACTTTTTGTTTTGTAGCATGCTGATTATGTCATAAGGACCACAGCAGAGCTGCTCTTGTAATCTCATTATTCTCATTAATTTTTTATGAGGTAATTTCTCGACTGCGTTAGAACAAGTCGGAGGCTTACAAATGGGCCAGAAATAATGGAAAATATAATTAAGAGCACCTGCTGTTAACACAATGTGCAGCACGCAAGGGGACGGCAATGAGTGATTAGTATTATTCTACGTATGCATGCACAAAAAACTATAAGTCCTGGTTTGCATGGGAACAGATTGCTTTGCTGGACTTTTGGTGATATTTGTCACAGATGCATGCTTATATTGCACTTTGCTATCATCTTTCCAATCACTTTGTGTGCTCTTAGACAACTCATCCCATCCATATTCTTATACTTGTTTAACCCCCGGCCCCTGAGCCAAATCCGGCCCACAGGCAACCTCTGAGTGGTTCCAACCTGACCTGAATCCAATATATGAAAAACATGCATAAAAGTAGCTCATGAGTGAGTCATCTTACTTCATTGCTATCTTTGTCAAGAGACATACCTGTGCAGCACCAGAACAGAGGTTCATGGAAGTAGTAGGATTCAAGTGACTAAGCAGAGGTCGGTCAATATAGGGATGGGGTGAAGAGACAAAGAATGCCGGTAAAAGAAAGGATGCGGCAAAACGAAAAAATGAAAAGTTATATGCTGACCATTATTTTTTACTAATTCTGTATTGACACACTCACACATTGCTGACAAAGTCAACACGTACAGTTTGGACTTTAGGGTCTTGCTCAAGGACATTTCTGCATGGGACTGAGTAAGGTGGGATTATGCTGTGAATTGTTTGATTGAGAGTTGACCCACTCCACCTGTGAGCCACAGTCTCGTCTAGAGGACCACAAAAAACTGATATATCAATGGAAAACACTGGAAATGCACAAAATACTAAACGCTGGGTAAATAATTTGTGACTTTGTTTTAGTCGTAACAATTCATCAGTAATGATTACACTTTGATATCCCTTTATTTGGCATTTTATTTTGAAATTGACCAAAAGCTCTGTGTTCTTCACATGTATGACTTCCTATTAAATTTTATCTGCTCTGTTTTGCTCCACATGCTGTGTGTGAGCTCTGACATTTTGATGTGTAACTTTTGCAGAGAAAAGAGACACTTCTAGGACGAATCTAGGATGCTCTGTGGCACTCGTCTTGGAGCATTGACCAGAGTTGGCGTGTATCAGATCCAGAATGTGAGGCGCTCACAGGATGAGGCTCAAGGACATCCTGTGGAGTCAACAGTTAAGATAACAGCTAGTAATGGTTATGAATATGGTCAGTTTCTCACATCAGATGCACAACACCCATAAAACACTTACAGGAGACCAACAGAGGTACGTGACTTTAAACACCCACAGAACTTCACAAGATTTTTAGCAAAGGAAGGAAAAATATAAAAGTGCTTACGCATCAATATCTCATCATTATTTTAAGTGTCTCTTCCTCTCATAATCTCTTCATCTCCTCCGCCTGGTCCCTCCTCCCAGCATCCATTCATCTGATCTGATCTTTGTAGCTGCTTCCTCTGAGTGTATCCTGACCTTTTAAACAGCTGCTCTACCTCCATGAAACACACACACACACACACACACACACACACACACACACACACACACACACACACACACACACACACTACAGCACTCAGCCTGTGGCGGTTGGCATTCGACAAACAGCTCTCAGTGTCTGTGTCCCTGCGCCATGCTGCTGACATTTTAAGCTTTGCAAGTTCTCTCTCACACAATGGCGAAAAACCAGCACACCTCTCACTCACTGTCTTTTCTTTTTTTACACACAACAGACAATCAAATATGACCTTCATCCTCTGTGATATGGCACCATCTCACTAGTGTCAGAATCTGCAACAATCTCTGAACAGTAGTTTGCTGTTATTAAAAACTAAAACTTAATTAATCATTAACCCATCTCCAAAGGTTATATGCTCTGACGGCACACCCCTCTACAGTGGGGGACAATGTGGCTCAGTGGAGTGTGGCTTGGCGGGGTGAAAATGTACTGATATAAGCACAATAAAATAAAACAATAAAACAAAAAAAAAAGTTTCGCACAATAAAAATAAATATTTCTCAAACCACCAGACGTTAATAACGTGAACGCTCTTTCATCTTCCTGTCTCCAGCTGGTCTCCAGTGGGTTGGGCGAATCCAAAATGGTGAAAACAAGGGGAGGTTCTGAGACAGGCTGTTACTTGTTAAACGAGGGTGCTCTGACAACACCCCCATTAACACTTGGTACGTTTTTCCTGATGAAATTAACCATAGACTGTAAATTGATGCAGAAAAAAATTGAGTTGACCAATCAGAATCTTGGTCGACTCAGCATGTATCGGCCAATAAGTTGACCACTCAACTAGGACTTTACAGCCCTCGAGCTTTTATGCATATGGGATTAGTGACCCTCTCCAGTGATTTGCCACCTAAGAAAGGAATGTGCAGGCTGATTTGGTCACCAAGATGGTCATGGCTTAAATACAGTATTCCGGCTGCAAAGAGAATAAAAGAATAAAAACCATATAGACTATGGTTTTCATTAAGGACCCTGGCACTAAATAGAAAATTAAGAAATGGCTGTGCATGAACTGATAATTGGTAGAAATTTCCACACATGACTGTTTTGACAATTGCACTAAATAAGACCTTAGAGGTCACTGAGATACAAAGTCATGGCGCATGTCTTAAAAGTTGGGAGCAACGTGCTACTTGAGTTTTCAATCTACAATCAAACTTTTCAAATGCCAAGAACTACCCTTTCTGTCGTCATTACACATTAAAGTTAATAAGGAATCACATATGAAAGAGAGCAGTTGTCGAAGACGAGACAGCGACCTTTCTTGACCATGTTTCTAATATTGAGTAAAGGAGATGCTGTCTCTCGATTCTGCCTGTCATTTGAATCCCAGAATGGACAACAGAATGGAGGAATTTTGTGATTAAAACACAGCTTTATTGTGACTGCATGTGTTGCCCACGTACCCCCGCAGCAGCAGCAGCAGCAGCCAAGAGAGACAGAAAAAAGGCTGCACTTTTCTCGCTCGCTGGAAAGTACAACCCCCATGGACAGCCTTTAAAGCTACAGAAGATAAGGTATTATGTGAGGTTTGCACTACATCTAAAAACACACCCCTCCCCCATCCTCTTCTTATGATCAAGAGTCTTCTAAAGCTTTTGGAAGAGATGGTTTTTCCTGCCAAACAAAAGTCTTGGAGAGATACTGAATCCACAGAAAATCAGTTCTGAATCCAGCATCAGCGGCAGGTGCGAATGCAGGTGTTAACAACAACAATAATAATAATAATCCAATTTCTGCAAGTACAAACAGATGGATGAGGATAGAGCATCTCTCTTGGCTTTTTTTACTCCCAGTCCAATATCTATCTTCATGATGAGGATTGGCAATCAGGGGAAACATGGATGAGGGGTCCAACTTGACCCAGCTGTTAAACTTCAGGTTTACTAGAGTTACTCTTGTAGCTTATTTGTAGGGAAGGCACGTGTCTCTCTTATAAAATCCCAAATGAAATGACTAGAATTGTTACCCATGATATGCAGAGAACAGTAATTTGATAATAGATGAAACTGACACCACAGTCAAAGAGCAGGAGTCTGCTTCTGTTTTGTTGTTTAAAATCTAGGCTTGGGGGCGGGTTTACAATGTTGCATACAGGAACAGGAGCCCTGTGCACAACAAATCCATTGCACTTTACATCTAGTGAATTTGGTGGTGTATGATGTTTTCTCGGAGTTTGACTATAAAAATGTGCTGACTAAGACCTCTATGCCTTACATTCACAGTGAAGGAGGCCTCATTATAATCTTTTATTTCCATGTAGAGTGCACTGATAAAATGTGACGTCATTCCATGATTACTTACCATTTCAACATTAATTTTTTTATTTCGATAAAAAAATGTCTCTACTTACACAAGTGAACCACAGTAAGGCCGTCAAATGACTGATTTTCAAAAATCAGTCATTTTCACTGTGCTCTAGTTCAGTATCCCTTTATTAGTATACTTAATTCATCCTTTTTCACTCTACACTCAGAGCCACTCAACTGTCATCATTAAATCAGGTTCATGCAAAAATGATCTTTTAACTCTTTTGTACAATAAAACCAACTTATCATTAAGAAAAAATTACCAGCACACAGTAACAAAACTCCATTAACCCATAATTTTAAATCTGCAAACACTAATAAGCACAATAATCTGCTCATTTCACTGAACAACACACTGAATAAAAAGAGCAACAGCTGAGTTCATCACTGAGATCAACGGGTCAACATGAAGCAGAAAAAACTGAAGTACATCAGAGAGGAAGCGGGAGTAGGAGGGCAAGGATTTAATGACAAGTTTGTGATGAGAATGATAATAAGGTAATCTGAGTGAGTGTGCAGCTACATTGAGAAGGCTCCAGAGAAGATGATAGTTCATTAGTGAATACTTCAACACAGGAAATCTTTGATACTCCGTGGAGATGAGAGTAAACAGCATGAGTACCACAACTGAACATCCTGAATTGGTATTTTTCCTGCTGTTCTTTTAAGAGCTTAAGGGAATTAAACATAGTACCAATTTCATGCGATCTACTCCATTTAGATGTACTTAGACTTGTTTGAAACAAGAAAAGGTGACAACAATAAAATTGAAATTTTGCAAGTTGGTTCTTTTTTACTGGTGGATAAATACAAAATATCTGATCATCACTGCGTGGGTTTCATAAATTGTATTTTTAAAATAATTGTGATAAACTTGAAAGCAACACAACATACTCATACTCCACTTCCATACTCAGTCAAACTGAGATAAGAACAGACAGAACTGTGTGAAAACATTTAAACAATGATCAAAAAGGGTAAATATTGAGCTGATTAGTAAACCATAGAGGTACAAGCTTTCATGTTATTTTTAGACTCACAAAAATCTTGAACATCAGCTTAAAAGGTCTCTTTAATTCTCTCAGAGGGCTGTTTCAGCTAGCTCACAAGCAGACCACCACTTCATCTTCCTCTATCCTCTGTTAATGACGTGTGACAACTAGCTTCAGGACCACTGATACAGTATTGCTGCCTGCTTAATTTTTGCACAATATCAGTATATAATTTACTGTTATCATCAACAGGCCTACCAGTATATCCCATCAGCCCTTAACTAAACCAAATGAAAATAACTAAGCAACAGTAACCAAAGATGGACCTGAGATCAAACCCCTTACATTCCAGTTTGGAGATGACTGACTACCACTGAGTCGCAGCTGCCCTGCATGGGTTCACACAAAGTAGAGAGGTGGAATGAAGGAAAGTATATAGATTATCGATTTCATCAGACATTGACTGACATCATTCAATGTCTCACAGGACAGCTCTCAAACGCAAATATTTTACACAGTTGTGTTCGTCCTTAAATGTGCAAAGAACAAATTCTAGAGGGTAAAATTCTGGTGGGTGTCAGAATCTTCTTACCATCTGTAGATGAGGACTGACCATATCATCACTCATGCAAATGAGTCTTGGTTTGCCCCCAGGTTGGCTGGATGTCACTTTGTCTATCCACACTTGAAGCTTCCATGCAACTGCAAACACACCCCAGTCCTTACATCAAACAATATCAGTACCATTATTGCAATTACTTATGCATTTGAACCATTGTGGGGACATTATGAAAAGGCCTCATATCTGTTATAAACATTGTAGTTGAGTTTAGTTTCACTTTTCTATATCTCCACACACACACACACACACACACATTAACATGGAGTAACCAGCGACTACAAAGACTTTTTTTTCGCATCAAGACAGCTGTCTGCCAAACGGCCAATCAGCCTCTGGAGTTGGCGTTGTTGTTGATGTTGAGGGGAGTTAGGCCAATTGGACAAAGAGAGAGAGCCAGAGATGTTTAGATATTCAAGAAGCACTTTTAGAGAAACCCATGGGAACAAAAGCCGATCAAAATCAATAAGCCATCCGACTAGTCAATGGTGTGACAGCTAATTATGAAACTCTGACAGTTGGAAGGACAGGCGGGAGCTTGGCATTGATTTAACCTCAGATCTGTTTCCCTTTCAAAACTAGTTTATTCATTTGGGACAATATATCATCAGGAGTACTGCAGTAAAGGAGCTTATAATAGAATAATTAATCTGATGTGGACTCAGGACACTAACTTCAAAGTAGTAAAAAAGGGTAAAAAACGCCAAGGGGATGTTTGTTGAACAGGCAAACTACTATTCAGAGTTGGAGAAAAAAGTGGAGAACCAAATAAATAATCATCAGTCTCCATTTAGACCAGGACAGCTGATGGCCAGGAGGTGCATGCTGTGATAGTAACAGACACACCAATGCATTAAAGCATTAAAGATACAAACTCAATGATAGTTTTTTTTTTCTAATACAATTCTTTTGTAAGCCCATCCATCCATGTTGAACAGTATCCATTATGCACCAAGTAAAGAATACAGCTATCTGACAGCAAAACATATTCTTTTAGATATTTAGTGCATGGTGATACTCCCATCACCCAAGACGCACTGATGAATAATTAAGGTGACCGTACATCCTCTTTTAGGGGGACTGTCTGGCCTTGTCGGACAGCCCCTGGACAATCCTTCAAATGTCCAGAGTTTTGTATGGGAGTTTTGAGTTTGTGTTCTGAGGACTTACTGAGTTACAAGCAGGTAAAAAAACACTTGATGCGACCCAAAAAACTCAAAATTTACTACACATGACCCTGTGACTCCGCCTCCATGTAGTTGTGTCCTCTTTTTGGGGAATCAGAAAATGGTCACCCTAGAATAATCAGGGCACTTAATTTAACCCTCTTCTGTGTCCTACTCAATACTCGAATCTTGGGTCATGTACACAGGGAAATATTGTCAAACACAGTGATTTATTCTGAATCCTGTGCTTTGGTTTGTGTTTTTAGATTACTCAAATAGGACTCTTAAACCCTCTGACTTCACATGATTACTAATTTACATAAGTCTTATCCTTGTTTGACTACTACCTTAAACACCTTACAATATTACCCTATGTTGGCAAGTTAGTTAGGTGCTGATTTTAACATGAATTTCAAAATTAGATTATGATTTTTAAATAATGGAACTTGCCATAAAGCCTTGGTGTGCTTACACCAAGTTCTCTCCCATGCAAGATATCATTTAGAAATGTAAAAACATTTTGTTTTGGTAAATGGAGCACATCTTAGACCTCTTCCCAGTCATGTCATCATGTCATCAGCAACTGAAAACCACATTTTTTGTGTGTGTTTGGTCATCACAGATTTAGTTGATCTAACTTAACTCAAAGTATATTGGTACTTCATAGGTCCCCTTCGATGTCATATTTTGTTTAATGAGCTCAAGCCATAGACTCTATATAAAATGGACAACCTGGTTCCGCCTTCCGCCTGTATACGGATTGGAAGCCAAAAAGCTCTCCGGGGTAATTCCGGGGTTTTCTCCACTTCCTTGAAACCAGAGCTGTGCAGTAGCGTTGTGCGCATTCGGCCGTGCAGTCGCCGAGAGTCCCTGTGATGACGCTCGACTCAAACAGCGAATCCCCCCGGGAGAGCTACGCAATCCCTGAACGCCCATAGGCTGTATCAGGTGTCAATCATAGAAAACATGAACCCCCCTAATAACTTTAAAAAACGGAGCTGTACAGAAAAAAAAGGACTTGGGCACAAACCAGTCTGACAGTAACTACATGTCAACATCACAACCAGGGGGGAGAAAAATTTATGTTCTGTGTAATAAATTTCTAAAGTTTGTCCACAGTCCCATAAGCTTTGCTGGCGGAGGCGGGATTTATGACATGTACTGCAGCCCACCATCAGAGGGTGCTGTTCTCGGAGTGGCTTCACCCAGCGAGGAGGCAGACTCTGTCCATCTTATATACAGTCTATGGCTCAAGCGTTATTTTGAGGTTTTGAAAATTGCAGAATCAGGTTTTATAAGGAATCATGTCCCAGGTCCCTGGTGATCAAGATAGCCCTGTTATTGGATCAAGTACATCACATTACTGCACAAAATTGGGCAAAAAGATCAAACAAATATTAAATTTTCAAAGTGTTTTTAAAGGCATGTGTCTTTTTTTAGACTCATCACATCTGCATATGGGACAATTGATATTGTTATCATACTCATACTTTGAAAAAAGCTCATATATAGGGCGAGTTCGGGCCTGGGTCAGCTTTTACTTATGCTGCTGAAGGCTAAAGGTGACATATTGAGCACTTTTCTCCCCTTCTCCCTCCTCTGTCTGTCTGCATCATTAACTATGAATCATCATGCCCCATTAGGGTCATTGATACACAGTCTTTTCTGGGAGCCTCTGTGCAGTTCTTGCCTGTTTTCTGGCTGCTTCAACTACAAGCCTTAGTCTATCCACTGTCCATTTCTCTCTTTCTTCATCTCCCTTGATCCTCTCTTTAAACAGCAGCAGGTGACTGTCAAATATGAGACATGTTCTGCTCGAGGTTTCTACCTGTTAAAGGAAATTCTTCCTTTCCAATGTTACTTGCTAAATGCTGCAAAGTGCTACACTCATGCGGTTGAAGATGGGATGGGAATAGTTTTGACCTGACAACACAGGGCTCAGTCTATCCCGTCTTTACATTGGGTCTTTTAATTAGAGTCTAGACTAGTTTTTAAAGCCTCTTGGGATAACACTTGTTGTGAATTGATGCTATATAAATGAAGATTGATTGATTGATACTTACAAAAAACCTCAGTTTGTCATAAAAAGTGATAATTTTACTATTAATTCATAAATTCACAACCTGTGTTATCACAAGAGTATTGGTTTTACAGCAATACAATTTAAATTTGTTCTTCTAAAAGGAGAGAACAAAGCTAGATATAACGTGTTCAGCAGTGAAGTTTGGTTTTAAATCTGTCAAAACTTTGAGTTGCAACATAATATATAAAATACCGCCCAAAAGATTTTAAATGAGATAAGCACATTTTCATAGCAGAGATTATGAGACAAGCCATAAGGGAAATCACAATGTTTCACTCCCAAAATTGCACACAGCTGACCATCATTTCCGACCTGCCAAAAACTCAACAGATCTTCTCAGAGCCAAACTGTTGATCACTCAGGAAATTTATCAAATTTCCCGACCAAAACTGTATGTCTATTTTCAACTGATCCAGCAGAATTTGGATCCGTTTCTAATCCAAGTCTGGCATATAAAATTGTTGCTTTTAAAAGGGAAGAATCTGCAGTTTGTCTGGCTTGCTCATCTGGAGAGAAAAAAAGGCAGATCTGAGAAAAGTTCAGACCCTGACCACTTATTTGCTTATAGTCACTCGTGAAACCTTTAACTGAGATGTGTTACAGATGAAACGCTGTGTGTAAGATCTATCAGATAGCAGTAAAAAATGGATTTTCCCCACGGCATCAAACAAGGCCTGTGTAAAATACTCCACTGTTTTCACAAAGTCTGACGCTCGGCAGTCAAAATTACCAAAAATCCATCTATACAGAAGGTGAACTTGAGAAGGTTGTCACATCCAGCCTTGTGAATTGCTGAGGATAAAAACCCTGCGGGGATTGGTTCAGACATGGGAGACATTAATTTTGCTGACCTCGGTGACTCCCATTCTATAGAAGGAAGTCAAACACGAGACCCATCCTCAGGGGATAAGAGTCTAATTGAAAAATCAGATGGATCTTTTGACCTTTCTAGTTAATTATACATTGATGCTGAGGATCATTCTCACACAGACTGGGTCTGGACCTCAAGTTGGGTGGTCAGGAAAATAAATTAGGCTGCAGAAATACTCTTAGGATAGTTTTGATGGGTAAAGTTTGATAAAATGTTAAATTTCTTATGCTTGTAAATCTTCCTGAAGTCCCTGCTATATTATAACACTACTACAGCTCAGTGTGTGATCAAAGCCTGAGGACATGGCCAACACTTCTCAAATAATCACTTTTAAATCAATCTGAACATTACTGTATGTCTCCTGGATTACACAAACAACGAAGTGAAACTTTGTGTTTTTGTTCTGAGCCAACATGCAGTTTTGTTTTTAATGTTGTCCAGCCTCAGATGAGATACATGTCATTCCCTGAAAAAACTGCATAATCTGGATGGCAGCAGATGTTGCTCCGGTTAGAACTGTGTCATTCAGTGTTACTGATTCCTTCACAGATGTGTAAACCAGCCATTCCTTACGCAACCCAACACCATCAGGGATGCTGGCTGAATTCTATGCTGATGACAAGGTAAGTGTAGTTTACCCAAAGAAGTGGCCGGAAAAACAGAAACATTTTCTAACCAGACTTTCCCAGTGCCTCTTCAGAGGTTTCATACAGGTATCAGCTAGTTGAAATTCACATTCACTGCTTCTCGCTCATGTCTCTTCATCACTGGGAATGAAAAGCGACACAAAGCACTGGAGTAGAATGATTGTCCCTGTCGTGTTTGAGGAGGAGTAAAATATCACTTTCTGCTGACATGACGTGAGGTAGCAGTTATATTTTCTATAATGTGAGGATTGTCAATGAGACGTACTTATGCTTTACAGATTGAAGATTTGCTTCCAATGACATGAATAAGATTGGAACCTGGAGAAAAATCCCTTCATGTAGTATGAGTAATGAAGAAAATGAAAGACAGTTCTTTGTATTAAAATAAAACCATGCCTTTGATGAAAATGTGAATTCAGTAAATGTGTGTGTGCTGTGTTGTTCTTAATGGCCGTAAATGATGTCTTCAGATGCAAAAATGATTTTAAAACCCATTAGTGATGCTGAATTTGAGAACAAAGAAAAGATGCTTTCACTGATATCCTCATTTTCCATCTCACCTTTGTTTATCAGCAGAGCCAGTACTTCCTTTTACCAACTGAGTACCTATTACTGTGCAAGCATCACAGCTCTCAGCCTGAGTCCTCATGTCTTAATGGAGCCATTTCAAACATTAATGCAAAACACTTAAAGTGCGTCTGAATGAAAAGAGCTGTTTGTGTATAGACGAAGCAGGTAAAATGACATTTTCTTAAAATGGATGAAGAGATACACTTCCTGAAATGTGTTGGTCCTGACCCGTACATTTGAAAGCATTGAATTAAAACAGAGCATCAATATTCATTCAACTGTAGCACTTAAGTGAAAAATGCACATATCCACATAGACAGACCATAAACCCTGAACCTTTTCTTCTTACAATCCTTAGGAAACTCAGACTGAAGTTATTTCCAGACGCTGTCAGCCAGCGGTCACATGGTTGGAAAAGGTTAAATACATTTACTCCTATACAAGAACGAGTCCCCAGGGAAGTCAGAGTTTAATATCCTCACTATAGACCACCCTCCTCTGAGCTATTTAAGGAGCAACAGCGTTATTCATTTCCTTCATGAACGCTTATTTCCTCCAGAGGATCCTCCTTCATTACCGACTCTCATCACTCCCTTGCTGGTCCATAATCTGAGGATAAAGAGTTGACTCCTTAGAGGTTAATTTCTACCAGTCCCAAAGAATTGATTTCTCCACTCATTGACCTCTGCAGTTTAATTGTACACAAAGATGGCATACTTTATATGGCACAGGCAGTGAGGTACTGGATATTCATGGTAAACGGGTACAGCATATAAAGCCCATAGTTTATTGCAACAGTTTACAAATCTTTATGACTCAGAATCTGGAAAAAACAATGAATAGTAAGGTTTAAAGTGCTGCAGATAATTGCCAAACTATCACAATTACTTTGACAAAAGAGATCACAATCAATAAATGCAATTACTGTTTCATGAGAGATTTAATGTTAGTTTAAATAAATCATGAACAGTGACATTTACAAACACACCACAGTCCTCTACACCTGTTGGCAGGACGGTGTATATTTTCCCTTTTTTGGGGTGGCAGTAGCTTAGGAGGTAGAGTGGTCATCCAATAACTGGAAGGTTAGTGGTTCGATTCCCCCCCATCCCTCCTCTGTCTGTTGTGTCCTTGGGCAAGACACTTAGATAGATAGATAGATAGATAGAGAACTTTATTAATCCCCGAGGGGAAATTCGGTTGTTGTAGTAGCCGATACAAGCAATACAAGAGAAATACAAAAAATAGATAAAATATACAAGACTATACAAGACTATACAAGATAATGAATGAATATGAGTACTTAAATAGTATGTACTAAGATGAATGAATCTGTAAGTGTAGATGTGCAAAGGTGAAATGTGCAAAAGTGATAAAAATATTGTATGATACTTATATGTGCTTAATATAACTTAATTACAACCTAAGCATGTGTACCCGTATTTATAACAACAATGTAGGAATGGCAGGCTAGTCCATGTAAGTGACTGTGGCTCTAACAGGGGTGGATGAGTTAAAGAGTCTTATTGCAGTAGGTAGGAATGACTTCCTGTATCTTTCCTTAGAGAAGCGGGGTTGAATGAGTCTGTTGCTGAAGCTGCTCTTCAACCTGTCCAGTGTGTAGTAGAGGGGGTGGGAGGGATTGTCCATGATTGCCAGCAGCTTTGCCAGCATCCTGTCTTCCACCACCTCTTCCAGGGTGACGAGTTTAGAGCCCACAACAGACTCTGCCCTTCTGATGAGTTTGTTCAGTCTGTTGGCGTCCTTTGCCTTGATGCACGCGCCCCAGGACACCGCAGCAAAGAAGATTGTGCTCGCCACAACAGACTGATAGAACATCTGCAGCATCTTGTTGCAGATGTTAAAGGACCTGAGCCTCCTCAGGAAGTAGAGCCGGCTCAGGCCCTTCTTGTACACCGCCTCTGTGTTAGCGGACCAGTCCAGTTTATTGTCCAGTGTAACACCCAGGTACTTGTAGGAGTCCACCAAATCCACATCTGTCCCACTTATGCGGACAGGAGTGGGCAGGGGCTTGTTCCTCCTAAAATCCACCACCATCTCTCTCGTCTTCGCCACGTTCAGCTGCAGGTGGTTCTCCCCACACCACTTCACAAAGCGGTCGACCAGGTCCCTGTACTCAGCCTCCCCTCCCCCCTCCACACACCCCACAATGGCCGTGTCATCGGAGAACTTCTGCAGGTGACACGACTCAGTGCAGTACTTAAAGTCTGATGTGTATGTGGTGAAGAGGAAAGGGGACAGCACAGTCCCCTGGGGGGCTCCGATGTCACTGATCAGACGACCAGACTCACAGTTCCGTAATCTCACAAACTGCGGCCTGCCCGTCAGATAGTCATCGATCCCAAGTGATGAGGGGAGAACTCACCCGCATGCTCTCCAGTTTGGCCTTCAACAGTCTGGGCTGGATGGTGTTGAAGGCGCTCGAGAAGTCGAAGAACATGATGCGTACTGAGGTGTTGGGTCTGTCCAGGGAGGCGTAGGCCTTTTGCAGCAGGTAAATGATTGCATAATCAACCCCAACGTGGGGCTGATAAGCAAACTGCAGGGGGTCTTGTGATGTGCGCACCAGCGGTCTGAGGTGTGCCAGGACCAGTCTCTCCATAACCTTCATGATGTGAGAGGTCAGTGCCACTGGTCTGTAAACACTTAACCTGCCTTGCTCCCAGTGTGTGTCCTCCACTGGTGTATGATTGTAAGTGTTGTGTGGTGGTGGTCGGAGAGGCTGTAAGCGCAAACTGGCAGCCACGTTTCCGTCAGTCTGCCCCAGGGAAGCTGTGACCACTAAGGTAGTTTACCACCACCAGAGAGTGAGTGTCTGAGCAGATGAATGATGTAATCACTAATTACATGAATGATGAGTAGAGAGCGGACAAAGGCTGTCTGACTCTAAAGGGCATTTCACTGAATTGTTTGAGTACAATTGATAATCTTAAATGTCAACTATTTGGTCAGTCAATGAGCTGTCAGTTGGTGTGTGCTGTTCAGCTGATGGTGTGTATTACTTTGTTTGTTTTTGTCTAATGCTTCTTATTTGAGTGATCATTGAGTGTTGGTCCTTTAAGCACATTAAGTGTATTATAACACTGAATCACACATCTTTTGTCGAGTGCTGGAAACAGGAAAAGTGAAACAAAATCCACAAGAAACATGTCACGCCATAAAGATGGAGTATGTACTTACTGTGACAGAGCAATCATAAGCAAGACACATATTAGTCTTTCCCTGCACACACTCAACAACACATGTCAAAGAACTTCTGTACTAAACTGAACAGACTCACCTGGTAGTACAGATGTGTAAACAGGTCATGCCTTTAAACTATTTGCAGTCATGAGTGGATCTTGGTATCAACAGTATTGCAGGACCTTTTTGAATCAGAGGATACCAGGTGCTTTAAGTCTTTAAATGACCCCAGCATGGGAGGAGTTAAAAAATTGTAATCTGCTCTATTTCAGTTTTTCTCTTTTTCAGGTAACTTAAATGTAATGCTGGCTGCTCCAGATTTAATTAGCCAGAATAGTTCAATTCCCTATTCTGTGTAAACACTCCGAGAGAGAAGCATGCTCGCCCTGACAAGTTCACTCATATATAAAGATGCAGACATTAATTATACCTCAGGGTACTGAACTGAATTAATGCTCTTAATTAATATGTTGGCAGTCAAGAGTGTGTAAGTTTTTTTTGCTGCTGAATAGGTGTGTGTGTGTGTGTGTGTGTGTGTGTGTGTGTGTGTGTGTGTGTGTGTGTGAATCTTTTGCCTTATCCATGTCCTAATTTTAGTCAGCTGAGGTAATACAACTGTGAAACTCTGTAGTGGCTAAAATTCCCATTTTCCCACAAATGCTGCTATTTTTCTCCTCAGCCCCCAACCTCCTCCACCTCCCACTCCTCCTCCACTTATCCACCCACCTAAACAGCAGGGAGGTATTCATTGAGCACGCCTTTAAATGACGGATGGAGAATGTTAAACACGTCTTCCTGCACTTGTCTCCTCTCTGCCTCCACTTTTCCCTTTTTCATCTAATGGTGAATGCAGGAGGCTGTCTCTCTCGTGGGTTCATCATGCTGTCTTTTCTCCTCTCCCGTTTCTCACCTTCCTTTATTTCTGGTTATTTACACCTATTTACACCTGTCCTCCCTTTTTGCACAACATCCTTCCTCTCCTGCCATCTTCCTCCAGGTGACAGACACTTACAAAGTGTTTTCTCTTCCCAAACACCTATTAGGTCTCTAAAAACTGAAAATAAATGTGTGTTTATACAGGGAAAAGAGAGAGAGAGAGAGAGAGAGACATCCATGGCTATGTGAGGAACTTCAGATGAAAAAAAAAAATTAAATTGCTGGGTTGTGAATCCCTCTGAGTGACACCTACTGATGTCTGTTGAGGTGATTTTGTTCTCAGTGGTGAATCGCAGGTACATGATGAACTTTTTAATATGTGAATCAAAGGGAGAATCCAACAGAATGATTTCATGTCGAACTCAGCAGGTGTTAACAAACAGAGAGGGAATTCAGCCAACCAAACAAATAAATGCCAAAGATGAGGGTCTATTTCATTCCTGCTTTTTACAAACAAAAACAGGATAAACAAGTTTCTATTTCCTCACAATCTCTCTCCTTAAATTACGTCCTTCAAATCAACTTTCCTGCTTTCAGTCCCCCGTCCTTTTTCTATCATGTTTTAATCTTCATCTGTCCCAGCTGGTGACGGATCTATTTTTATCTGCTGTCAAGGGACAAAAAAAGAGGGTTTTTTCATCAGGAGATGGCTCAACAAGTGTCAGAGCTGCGCCACGTGAAATCTCCTTGTTTTGATATACCCAGCACAGTTTTCATATTCTGCTTTACAGGTTATATATATATATATATATATGAATTGTTTTTTGTGGGGGTGGGGGGGATATTTGCCTTTTATTGATAGATAGACAGAGAGGAACATTTAAAATATGCACACACACCCATTACCATGGCTACAAATGCTAAAGCTACAAACTCAGCAATAAATATGCATTGCAGCTGCAGAAACTTCACTCTTGCACAAACAATCACATGTAGCGATTTGAATTTAAATTAAATGTCTCAAGATTAATACTTGATAATGATCTTAAATTATGACATTATTGCACTCTTTGAAAGGGGCACCACCCACCCTTATTGGCGGAAAAATAAAGAAAAAAAAAAGAAAACAGTGGTTATCAGAAACCAAACATTAAGTCAATCTTGAATTAATTAGTCACATAATCTCAACCCGAATCTCTCATTTCAAGGACTCCACTTCTGGAGGAACACTAACAGACAAGGACTTAGAAAAGTAATCTGTTTATTACAGGATAAATGATGGTACATGGTACCCTGGTTTAAAGCTAAATTTGGATGTGGATTTGGATGAATTTAGGATTACTCAAAAAAGTGAATATTTGAATCATGACCTCATCAGCATTCTTTGTTTATTGTTTATTGTTTATTTTATTTATTTCGGTCACTTGTTTCAAAATATGAATACAATCAAACCACTACGCCTACCCTTTTCAACTCGCAACAGTCAGCTCCTTACTGAGCACCAAACATTAGGACAAAAGAGGAAAAAAAGAAAAACACAAAAACAAACAAACAAGCCAAACAAAACAATAAAGTAAACAGATAAGCCGAAAAAGAAAAACATGAATATACCTTTACATGGACCTATGATGACTGTTAAATTTCCAAAAGACAATTTACACAAACACAGATACTTAACCATTACAGTTATACTTAACAAGCAACCTATTCTTCAATATTTCCCTAAATAATTTATATGTACTGCACTCCTTAATTTCATGATTAAACAGATTAGTACATTGCTGAATGCGTAAGATGTCATGATCAGTCATTTGTATTCTTTCTCCAAAGGTATGCAGTTTCCATCAGAACATGGCTGAGTAGGGTTTTACGACTGAGGTCTGGAGGTCAGTGTCCTACTCCTCAGACCTTTCCTTGGGATCCATGTGTTCACACACTTTAAGATGGTAAATGTCAAATGGAAGACCTGGGTTGAGGCATTAATGATTATTTAGATGCTCAGTGATTGAGTCAGGTTGGAAGGTAATAAAGACTCTGTCTCTGTTCCCTGAACTGCGAAGAGGCGAAGAGCCAGAGGTTTAGGTCAACCTCAGATTGGGTCAGTTGGGTAATCTGAAAGTCCAAACAAGTGTAGAAAGATTTATATTATCCTGTGTCCTGGGACCAGATAAGGAACCTTTCCTGCAATGAACGTGTGAGTTTCACATACAGGGTTGTCTTGATGCTACACACACTTGCAAGCAAAGCAAGAGTAATACAATTCAGTTAGAGCAAATATGGACTTGAAATCAGGCACTTTTTTCTCTGATCTTATTGGACGCAGCCAATAAGATCATTGCCATTCTTGTCCCCAAGAGTCATTGTCTTGTTTTAATCCACTAATGCCATTGGTTCAGGGGAGGCGGGGGTGCTTAGGTCCACAAAGAGAGACGAAGGCAGGCTGTCTTGCTTCAACCTGTGACTGGGTTAAGCTGTCCTGTGTCTGCAGATCCACTGATCTATCCCTGGACAAGAAACTTTGCCATTAATCCATTCCTCCACAAGGTCTAACCGGGTCTCAGCAGATAGCAAGCTCTTAATTTCCAACAAAACCGTCAACCAATCATCCATCTTCTTTGTCTTACGAGCCAGCAAGCTGCTTAAGATATAGGGCTCTATTTTCGTGCCTCACCGGAGACGTGCCACAGGCGTGGCGTAAGTCAGGTCTGCCGCGCCGACAAGGCATTCCCAAGCACAATTTGGTATTTTTGTGAGCGGCGCAGCCCGACGTTAGTATCCCCCCTCCCTAACTCAGCGAGAGGAGAGAGGTAGTGGAGTGGGTTTAACACAGCCGAGACCTGTTTTCACCAATCACATAAGCTCCTCTCCTTGCCTTTAAATCCGCCAACGGCGAGGCGTATTACAATTTTCATGAAGTAGTCAAAGAGATCAAGAGATGTTTGAAGACAGTAATGCCACAAGATGGCGACAGAAGGCAGCTCCTCAACAAGTGTCACTGTAAACGCTGCAGAGGGTGTCCTTCACATTGTCTCATATAAGCACAGATGGATTTGGTGTGTGTAAGTTTGGACCCACTAGTAAGACAAACACCCTTTTCCACAAATAAAGACACTCACATAAAGTTGCATATAATCAAACCTCACGTGACAAAGGTGGGTGTTGCGCAGAGATCACAACATAAACTCCAAAAATGGCATTAAAATTGGAACCATCTGTGCGTAAATGACGCATCGCGCTCCGTGGCCTGGCTCTTTCTTTCATAGATGTTGGCATATAAAATAAATTTGGCTCACAAAACTGAATATTATAATATTCGTATGTTTGCTTAAAGTAAATAACTCATCTGATCACTGAAACAAATCATCTGTTCAGCCGCGGCAGCAGCAGCTGCAGCAGGACGGGGAGAGGACACGGAGACATGTCCAGGTCGAGCTGTGTGAGAAATAAGAGGAAGATAGAAAAGGAGGGAGACGAATTACATATCTTGTTAACTTCATCATGTGTGTCTGTTTACTAGATATTAAATTTAATTTGATGCGGTTTCAGCTGTGTTGATTTGGTCAGGTTGTGTGTCCAAACGCGTGCCAAACGTGCTCATCAGATCAGATATAGATCAGAATATAGCTATATAGATCTAAATGTATGTGCTGACTCAGATTATTAGTTGTTGATGATTATTTATTGCACTGAAATGTGCCTGACACTGTGTAAACCTGCTGGTGAGGCATCAGGGATGTATGCCGATACACCGCTGGTCTACTAAAATACCACTAGACCAGCTGTGGTCTGCCTATGCTGAAAGCTGACCAGGTGTGAATCGGTGAGCTTTCAGCGCAGTTTATATGGCACCGGCGAGCACGAAAATGTCACTGTGGCGGCTGATTCTATCGACACCTCCCCCTGCCTCGCCACCACGCCCACCTTGGCGGACCTCGGTGCGCCTCAGTCCACGAAAATACCAAACTGGCTGTACGCCGGGCTCTGCCAGACGAAAATACCACTGTGTGGGGTCTGCCACCCTCCACCGCCTCACCAGCGTACACAAAAACACATCCCAATGTCTCTCTGCCTTCATGAGCTGAGAGAGGAGTGGACACTTTTTAAAACTGATGTGAAATATTAATTTTGAACCTAAAAACAATGTTAGAGACTCTGACTGTACTCACAGTTATTTTAACTTCTTCATTCAGTCCTGTTACTTATAGTCTTCCAGAAGTGGTTAACTTCAAAATAAAAGCACCGTTTGACAATGTGGGAAATGAAGCAAAAGATGTGTTTGACAAAAAAAATATCTAGTAATGTCATAATGCATGGAGCAATGTGTTCTGTAAAGAAGTTTCAGTCAGAGGGATGGTAAGGTAGATATGTCATGAATTTAACGTTTATTAAAAAATTGGGATGGCATTTAGGTTTATTGGTCTAATCGTTAGATTTATAAAGTGATATGTTGCACCACCTTTTCTTGCCTTATATATGCAGAAAAAAAGATTTTAAAGGCTATGTATAAGGAAATACACATTTCTATAGTAGTTTCTATAGTATAGAATATTTACTTTAATCATTCCTGAGCCTTTAGAATGTGAAAGCAAACAATCTTCTACACTATTTCTGCAGTCCACCCATTGAGAAAATACACCTTCTACAAGGCAAAGTGAATCTACTCCTGTGGTGAGATAATGACAGGACTGACTTGCAAAGGCAGTCATGCAAAATCACTCTCTCTTTTCCCCTCGTGATTCTCCTTCTTTTTATGCTACTGTATTTTTATTCTAGTGATGCATTGTCACAGATGTCAAATATCAAAGCCATACATGCCG